TTTGTTTTCTAAGATAATATATTTTTAATTATAAATTAATGTACAAAAAAATATTATAATCATTTAATGTTATTAAAGGTAAAAAAATAAAATTGAAAATTATTAGATAATTATTAATTAAAAAATGTGACCACAAATTAAAAAATTAAAGTAGATAAATTTGGCAATAAAATTAAAAAATTTTAATCCGTTAGCGATTTGGTACAAAAAGTTACATAAATTAACTTTTTTAATCCGCTAGTGGTTTGGACCCTAACCACTATCCGTTAATTTCAAACCGTTAAATAAAAATTTTACCAAATAATTTATTTGTAACGGTTTCAAAAATATATAAATTTACTAAATACATATATTTAACAATTTAAATAAAACCGCTAACCACTACCTCAAAACCATTACATTAAACGAATCCTTAGTTAGATTCTGCAACGATGGAAGATATTTGGCTTCAATCTATAAACGGTATATGGTGCAATTAAGCTTCTCAGCTTTCAATGTTGTGGCATGTCAGTCCCTCTACTTAAACATAGTGCAAACTGACTCCTCTACAGCCTACTACTTGAACTCTGCAAATGAGCCCTTGTCTTAATGATGATATCATGAAGCGTAATCTTTTTGTTTAACCTTCTAAACAATCCAATGTCATCTTTCCATCAAACTTTTTAATTATTACTAATTATTTCTTTCCTTGGGTCTCATTAGATTTTAAAATCAAACCTTATAACAACAACTTAATTCAAGGATTTAGGTTAGGACAATGATTGATACACTTTTCGATTCAACACACTTAATAATACTCATCTATTTAATAATTAAGAAACTAATATTTTCGAATTTAAATTCAAAGTGGGAAAATTTTTAAAGATAAATTTTAATAACTAAACAGGTAAGTATTGTTAGGTATATTGAACAGAAATGTGTAGCAATGATTTTCCTTTAGGTTGTTTATCCACTTCTACCAAATCCATACTCTTACCGCATGAGCTAAGGCCAAGTCATGTTATTTTTACTAAGTCAGCACGAAATCATCCAGTCTTAATTAGGTAACAAAAGGTCAAATGGAATGATAACCTTTCATGATGTCATTGTTAACAAAAGAGCTCATTTGCAAAGTTCTAGTAGAGGCGTTGATTTACACTAATTTTAAGTAGCGGGGCTGACATGCCACAACATTAAAGGTTGAGGGACTGAATTAATTTGCACCATATGCCATCAATATGTTCACTTCAGAGTTCAGACGCGCGCAGCGCACAAACATTTGAAAGGTTTTTTAATCTGTGCCTTTTAGATTATAGGTTATAAAAAAAATTTTTTATCATAAATAAAAAAAAAATTGATATTGATTTTAATGTTGTTTTCAAATAAATAAATAAATTTAATTAAATAATTAAATATTAATTTTTAGTTTTTAAATATAAATTTATTAAAAAATATTTATTATATTTTTAAATTACATATACACATTAATGAAAGTAGGTAAACTTTTAACTGCTAACTGTATAGCTAAAAGCCTAAAACCCACCTTTTCTTCTCCACATATCTCTGGTCGGACGAACCAAAGGAAATTTCATGAATGTTTGGACCATAGACTTGCATAAATTAATTACAAACCAACGTGGGGGCATAGCGCCAACAACAATTGTGGCGAAAGGCATAGCGCCAACAACAATTGTGGCGAAATAGGTCCCATTCTTTTGAAAAATGTGATGGTATTTAAAAATTTAAAAATTAAGGATTGACAATCCTAATACGTAACCATTTAATGGTACTAATTCAGAAAAGTAATAATAATAAGGGCATAGCAAGTGGTTCTTGGATCTGTTATTTGGGTTTACGGAATTTTTGAGTTTTTTCTCGTAAATAATTAGAAGGGATGTGAAGGTAAATTTAGGGATTATATAAATTTAAAAATGATTTTTTTTTACGTTTTGTTTTTCTTTTATTTTTTATGAAAGATGATTTAAAAGTAATTTTTTATATAATATTGTATATAATTTATTTATTTATTTAATAATATATAAAAATTATATTAAAAAATTATATTTTTTTAATACATAAGATATTAAAAAAATCTCAATATCATCTCTTAATTTTTTATCATTAAAGTTTCTTTTAGGACCCACTTTTCATGCCATGTCACCTACAAAAAATCAAGTTCAACGATGACCACCGCCATTCGGAGAGTTCTAAGGTTTAAAAGCACCTGTTTTTTTTATATAGGGGCAGATTTGCCACCAGTCCAAGGAAGGGTAAAGGGGGTGGCTGCCTTTTTGCCGAGTTTTTATTCTTTCTCGTTTCCCTTCCTTGTCATAGAAAGTACAAAGTACTAAAGGTTAAGGATGGCAATGGGTCCCCACGGGGGCGGGGACCCCCTCCCCATCCCCATCCTCATTAATGGCGGGTACGGGGATCCCTGCGGGGAATTTTGACGGAGGGTCAAAAATTGTCTCCGTCTCCATCCCCGCGGGGAATAATAGATCTCCGCGGGTATTCGGAGTCCCCACCATTCACTACTTGTTAATCAAAATTCCAAAAGAAAATAGCAATTTTACAGAATCCTATATAGCAAACAAAGATGATCAAGATCAGTCTTTTAAAACAAGCTGGAGGTGAGCGGTGGTGAGTGAGGAGTGTTGCTGACTTGCAGTGATGGGCTGACAACACGGTGCCATGGTGAAAGGCGGGATGAGATGACCCAGCGGCAGCCTTGGAGCTCAGCTGGAGGTGAGCGACAAGCGTTGCAGGGCAGCAGGGGCCAGGGGTTGTAGTGACGGCGAGGTTGAGAACTGAAGGGAATCATTGTGAAGGTCCATGGAGATGAGGGCAGAGTTTGAGCAAGAGTGTGGCAAAGGATTAGAGGAGAGGACACTCAGAGACTGATTGGAGAGACCGACTGAGAGATGGCATGGTGAGTCGGTGAGAGGTTGAGAGCTGAAGTGAAGCACCGATTCATAATGATCCATGGAGATGAGGGCAGAGTTTGAGCAAGAGTGTGGCAGGGGACTAAAGGAGAGGAGACTCAAAGACTGATTGGAGAGGAGAGACCAATGTCGACCGAGAGAGGAATGAGGAATCCCAATTTCCAAATTCGCAATTTGCAATTGCAAGAAGCGGCAAGCAAAAGAGAGACTGAGTGAAATGTCCTCTTGCTAGGGTTATATGTAAATCGGGCCTGTAAATTGGGTTGTAAATTGGGGCTGGGCAATTAGGTTTAGGATTATTAGATTAACAAAAAAAATTGAGTTGGGCTGAGAATTGGGTTTGAAAAAATTGATAAAAGAATGGGTTGTGAAATTTAAGTTATGTTGGTATCGGGTTAACTAATTAAATTGGATAAGTAAAAATTAATTGATAATATATGTACAAAAAATATATATATAAACAAATTTATATATTTTTTATTTTATATGGATCCCCACGGTTCCCCACGGGGTGGAGAAAATTCCTCGCGAAATTTCACGGGTAAAAAATTACCTCCATCCCCGCTCCATGGATAGAAATATTCTGAGAATCTCTATCCCCATAACGGGTATTTTCGCAAAGCTCTGCGGGTTGCAGAGAAAATTGCCATCCTTACTAAAGGTCTTGGTTGCATTTTTCTGACCAAGTCTTGATAAGATGGAGAGTGTGGTACAATTTTGGGTACTGTTGTGATTATTATCTAATTTATTAAGATTATTAAAAATTGTTAAATTTTTGTTTTATTTTAATGATTAAAAATAATTAATATGTATTATTTTTTCAGAAAAATTAATATGTATTATTAAATATATTAAAATTAATTTAAAAATAAGTATTTTTAAATATTATATTAACAATTTAAAAAAAAATTATATACTTATAAAATTATAAATACATTAATAACTGTAATAATTCAGAAAGTTACAATAAATTAACCAGTAGTCTAGCTATCCAGGGGCTGGCCCGGGTATCTAGGGTCTAATCATAATTAATCCCTTTGAGTTGGTTTTCTTGGCAATAAGTTTTGAGCAATTTTACCAATCTTTATCAATTTTTTACTAAGTGTCTTGCTGTACCTCATCATCTAAGGTATTTTTCCTTTTTCGGTGGTTAAGGTGTCCTAACATTACTTTTTTTTGTATCTCAAAAATTAATATCTTTTTTTTTTGAACATTTTAATTATGGAGCTTGACTCGAACCATTACCTTTAAAGAGAAGGATATAAACTTTACAAGAATAATTAGAGCCATTTGACCTACAAGGTTAGGTTCCAAAAATTAATATTCTTTTAATTAATTTTAAAAATATATTTTTATATCAGATTACTATATTTAAAAAACTTAATTTATTTTAGTGTTATTCATAATAAATAAATCTTGAATCTATCCAATAGTACAATACTTATTTATTAATAGATCTACTTTAATTTAATTTGAGGTTATCAATCATCTAATTGGAGGGAGATGACATAAGCTTTGCAGTTTTTTTTTATTTTAATTAC